CGCCCAGCCTGCAGCGTTGGAGTTTTCGTGATACCGCCCCTCCGCGCTCGAGTTCGACGTCCATTTCGAGAGTTGTCAGGCCGTTTTTTTCATGATGCCGCTCGTCCGCGCTCGAGTTCGTCCATTTCGAGAGGCCGGTCTAGTGTGCTATGTGGCGAACGGCCATTTTCTCTCGAAAACTGGCCTCTCGAAAAATCCTGACAGCTCTCGAATATTTTCGAGATTCGAGAGTGGTGTGGCGAGGCCCTATGTATTTGAACAAACAACATGAGTCCGGATGGAGACACCTGATTGCTTCTCATACTACAAAAAGGATTTGAGAGCTACTGCTATACGACCTTCACAGTTGATTGCCTACAAAGAGATTGACAACTACTTTTATACAGCAGCCACCGGTAAATTGACAACAAAGAGATTGACAACTACTACTACACAGCAGCCACATTTAGCTGACAAGTACTACTATACATCAGCCACTACTACTATACAGCAGCCACATTTAGCTTGACAAGTACTACTATACATCAGCCACTGGCGGTTTCCTGCACAAGAGTGAAGTGGTGTTGCAGAGCAGTGCCATAGCGTGTGCTTGGCAATATGATACAGGTGGTAGTGTCAGACTTCACTGGGCCCCGCCCCAGGAGCTGCTGAGAGGTGTGTAGATCTTCGAAGTAAAAATGCATGGTCTGGATTTTTCTCCATTTTTTCTCAACGTGTGGTCCCCAGCTCCTTCGGTGTACCTGAGTCTTGGGGCCTGATGCTCCCTCTTATATGATTTGGTCGTGATCCATGTAGGCAGGCGTGTCTCCCTTCCTCCTGACCACGTCTTTGACCCTCGTCGGTGGTTGTATGCACTGCATTCTGAAGTAACCTTCTGCGGTTTGCAGGAGCCTCCCGCCTGAAGCCCTCCGTGGAGATCAGCACTGGTGGGTCCATCGGGGGCCGTTGGTGTTTTTTGTCGTGTCGCCTTTGTCTCTCCATTTCTTTGATGTCTCTCTGCGGCTTACTCTGTCCTTTTGCCTTTGACATTGCCACTCTCCCAGTGCTCAGCCCACGATGCCCTCTTCGGACCAGTTGCCTCACAGGGGCAGCAAGGGTACTGGGGGGGGAGACTGGGGGGTGGCTGGCGGGG